GGAGTGCTACCCTAAATAAAATGGCCAAAGAAGTGGCCTTTTGGATCTGGAGCCAAATATGTATGTTGCCATTCATTCCACAACGCGATTCATCACTGCAATCTGCGTTTTGCACAGTGCCATTAAGGGTTTGGCATGCACAGAGGTGACTGAGTATTTTCAGAACTAACTTTCCTTCCTAACTGATTGGAGACTTTTGCTGGTGTTCTAAATGGCTCAGTCTTGCAAATAGGGCAAGAATCAAAGTTTACCATGTATGAAAGGAACGCATTTCCCTTCAAGCTCTCTATTGACACGAATTGCTAAAACCTTCCTCACACTGGAATGCAAAAGATCAGGTGATTGGTTAACGTAGGGTTGGCAGCTGAGCAGGGGAAACATCTTCAAAACTTCCAAATATTTCCCCTATGCAGAACTCCAACTCCTTCTTCTCTGCTCTCTGCTTGTGAAAGTTTCTGTCACCTGCTCAGGAAGCAGAAGCAGTCAAATGGGATTTCGAGGGATCCAGCTACAGCATCAGTGCCAGTTAGAGGAAGCAATCAATTCCCAGGTAGTCCAGGCTTTGAAGAGAGTTTAAGCAGCTTTCCAAGGAACATGGCCAAGTGCAAAGCAACCAATTGATCTGACTGTCCAGTGAAAGAAAAGCAAGTGCAGAGCAGCAAATGCTTGAGAGAGGGAAACCTTTTTGAAGCACAGCCATTTGGGGCCGAGACCTGTTAATGTGCTAGGCAGTCCCAGGAAGCGTCAAAGTGTGAGCCGTGCTCTCCATCCAGCACTGGCGTCCTGCACTTTCTGGAGGTTCTTGATTCTGTAATCAGAATTCCAACAAGCTCCTCAACAGCGTACAGATCCAAAACCCACAGACCCAGATTAAACAGCCTCCCATCTGGTTGTATCATTGTCAGGCATGCATTCTTTTCTAGTAACTGGTCCTTTCTTCCTTAGTTCAGATCAAACACAAATAACAAGATTCAGATGACTCCTAAACTCTCCAGACAGCTCTGGTGTTGCTGTAGGATGGAATACAATTGTTTTCCTTACAACCCCCCAGTTATTTCCATGTCTGTTCTGGACCTTGGGATCTCTTTTGGGAGCTACATTACGCAGAGAACTACAACAAGGCTGAGATCACCGCTGCCTCAATGTAATGCAAAGGTGAAGGCCTTTAGGACAGCCAGTTTGGAAATGAATGCAGCCCCATCTTGTCAGCATCAGAGCAGAGCCAGCTCCAGATGGCTCCAAAAAGGAGCTGCTGCTGGCCAGAGCCGAGGCAGGGAGTGCTGCTGGGTGGGCTTCGGGGGAGCAGATTTAAGGAAGGGGGGAAAATACTGCTGTGCAACAGCAGCCGAGAGAGAGAAGATTGTGAAAGCGTGAGAGAAGCAGCCCTGCAGCTCCCAAGAGAAGGGCCGCAGGAGGGCAGGAGGTGCTGCAGGCAGGCAGCAGCAGTTCCCCTGCAGGCTGTGCAGGGAGAGGCCCCTGGTGGAGCAGGCTGTCCCCCTGCAGCCCATGGGTCCCCCATGGAGCAGATCTCCACGCTGCAGCCCCCCCATGGGTGGAGGAGCCCCCACTGGAGCAGGTGGATGTGGCCTGGAGGAGGCTGCGGCCCATGGAGAGCCCCCGCAGGAGCAGGCCCCAGGCCGGAGCTGCAGCCCGTGGAGAGGAGCCCACGTGGAGCAGGGGCAGAGAGGGACCGAGAAGGAGTGGTGGAGATGAAGTGCTCCAGACTGACCACAACCCCCAGTCCAGTCCCCCTGTTCCCCTGCGCTGCACGGGGGGAGGAGCTGGAAGAGCTCAGATGGGGGGAAGGAAGGTGGTTTTGGTTTCTTTCCTTTGGTTCTCACTTGTCTAGCCTAGGAGTAGTAGTAGTTAGGCAGGATATCTTACTGTCACGATCCTTGTTGAGCGATCTCCCTGTCCTTGTCTCAACCCCTGAGCCCTTTGCATCATATTTTCTCTCTGCTGTAGTCTGCTAGTGATAGGCAATAATTACATTAATCATCCAATTTTGTGTCTGTTTTGCCTATCAAGGCACAGGAAATAAATTCACCTGGGTAATGCCCATAAGTGGGCTGCAAGAGTGCAAGTTGCGTATGGCAGGGCCATTGGTGTGGGAGAGCCTCTCTGCCAAAGCACAAAGGAAAAGACATGTGGCAGCTCCTGAGGCAAATCTCTGGGGACTCCAGTTGGGTCTCTCATGGCCGGAGCACCACCACCTGCTTCGTGAGGGGCCTGGGCCACCTGTCTGCCCCACGGCTGCTGATTCTACATGACCTTGATCACACGTGGCAAGGATGTGTGGCAACAGTGTCTGGCATGTCCCTACAGTCTTTTCAGAGGGTCTGCTATTCTACAGCAACAGGAATGAAATGGTGGGCAGCACTTGTCAGTACCCAGAATGGTGGCAGCCCTGCAGAGCAAGGTGAAGGCCTTCACCACGGATGGCGGGCGGCTGCGGGCAAAGGTTAGTGAAGAAATAATTGCTGGCCACCACCAAAATGAGCAGAGTAAAGCCTGCACATGCTGGCTGAGCAGAAGCAGTTAAAAGGTGCGCCAAGCAAAGATGTGAAAAAATTCAACCACATCCACTGTCCTGTCCCAGAGAGAAAAATGTGACAAACAGAACAACAGACATAGCACAAAATTGTTCTCTGTGGTTTACAAAATAATGAGTATATTTTGGAGGCTTAGTACAAATTTAAGCATATTGTCCTCAAGTGTACACCTAAGGTGTACGTATTTCCACCCTGCATAGCACTGTTTGGTAACAAATGACAAAGTAAATATTTTTAAAAGTTTATTAAGAATTTCCTTCCAAAATACCATTCAGATAGGACTAGAAGAAATAGTTGCCAAATAAAATGAGGCAGAGAGATATTTTTACTGCTGACTGAAATAATTCTGGAATAAGATAGCAGTAGCTTGTGTATTGGTTAGGTGTTCCCTGTGTTCTAAAGCCCTAAAGCAAACTGCTTCCTTTGTCGTGATGATTGCCAGTTTCTAAAGCACATGGGCAACATCTAGTGTTAGCTGATGGATACTGCATATTCTGGAGTCCATGAGTGGTTAAATATTTGAATCTTGCAAAACCAACGACTATGAAAGTTTCTATGAAAATCAGGCCCTCTTACCCCATGTCAAGATGGTATCCCAGAGATCAGTCAGACATTACTACAAAAGGCATGCTGTATATTTACTTGCTTTTTCTCAAAGCCTGAATTCTGGTAATGGTCAGCTCTATCGGCATCCTGTTTAGACTTAGCAATAAATAAACAATGAGAAGCCTTGGGAAAACAGGTCAAAGGAAGGGGATCAACTCAAAATGGATCTCTTTTAGATAAACAAATTTCTTATCCACACAAGTAATACCATGTTGGATAAGCTAGAATGAATGGCAAAGATACTGTCTTTCAGTCTGCAAATTCTAGAAAGTCTAGGTAGAGGAATGCCTCCTGCCTTTCTGGAGAGGGTTATTATTGGCCATATCCCAGTCTGCTATCCAGTGTGGGTCCAGCCTTTTCCTCGTGTTCCAGAACAATCAGTTGTCTAAGATTGTGAGAAACTTTTCCTTGTTCCAGCTGGGGGCAAAGAACTAAGACTAGGGGTAATATTTGGGACCCCAGAACTTTTACCTAGGCCTCAATACTGAGGCCATCTGTTCTGTCAGCAGCACATTATACCACCGGTGCTGACCCAACAACGCAGTCAGGCCAAACACCTTGTTTGCTAGTTTTATATTGCAGCTCTCTACACAAATACAGAAAAACATGATCTTTGCTGTTTGTTTCCAGGAGAAAATTACTGGGGATGGAGGAGGCAGGATGTGATCAATTGGTATAATTTTCCCCAGCAACAAAATGTGTTTGTATGGCCAGAGACTAACAGGTCATGATTACTATAGTCTATGGAGATACCTGCTCCCAGCTCGCACATCCCATATGCTGCCTGTGGGGCACCTGCACTTGCTCCATGTCCCGAGGGAGATTTATCCCTATGTCTGTTCTGGGATCCAGCCAGCAGCCACACTTACAGCAAGCCAGAGATGCTTTGCAAGCTGAAAATAAACTAAATTTGAGTTCCTGAGATACCATCAGCCTCCTGCTTCACACCACCTTAATGCAGCCCCTTTGGAACACTGGAAGATGCTGGTAGCTACAGCCACTGAAGGAGGTCAGATAACCTAACACTGTTAAGCGTCACACTAGTCATCTCTACAGCATCACCTGTGGTTTGCTGCATTTCTAAAGACAGAGATACAGTTTTATTTCTTGTTTTTAGCACCATGGACTTGCTTTCAGCAATGGAAGCTTTAAAGTATCTTTTAGAAAAGTATCTAAAGCTTTAAAGTATCTTTAGAAGCTTTTGAGTATCTTTTGCCCTGGACTTTGCTCTTGCTGTGACACAAATATGAACTGCCAGCATAAAAGTCACTTGTCAGGCTGTCATCTGCCATTCTTTTTAGAGAATGTCCTGTGTAGTAGGAGTTGTATGGGTATTTGTGTCTCTGTGCTTCATGAATGTAACCTGGTTAAGGACTTTTTCACTGCAAAGGAGGTAGTGATTAAAAGGGGAAGTGGTAAGTAAGAACACACAAAGACACAAACCTGTCAGGCAACACATAAAAGAGGTGATACCAATGATCAAAACTATCCAGTTACTAATTGATGGACAATTGAAATAAACTCCAGGGACAGTTTTGTAGAGAGCCACCTGGACTTTGTAACTGATAAGAGAAGGAAAACGAGAAACAAGAGGATTTGGGGGATTCTGTAGGACTATGCAAAATTTACAAAGGAACATTTAGCAGAAAGGGACTGGGGAAGAACAAAAGATGAGATATGCATAAAAGGGCATAAAAGGGGATGGTCACTTGAAAAGCATTGCCAACCATTATGCCTGTCTGACTGAGCCCTGGGCCCAGTCACTGCATTCTGTCCTATCTCCTCATTAAATTCTTTCATGACAATCTTTCTGCATGATCTTACTCTTACCTCATGTGTGTGTACATGTGTTGTAAGGACTAAATGTAAGCTGCTGGAGAGACCACAGTGAGAGGAGGCAAGGCCATCTGCTGAGGACAGGCCAGCCTGTGGTGCCAGTAACTGGAGCAAGTGGGAGTGAAAGCTACTGGAGTGGGTAGGGGTCTTGTCCACCAGCCACTGGGATGAAGACATCATGTTTGTCCTGAAAACCAGCTACCAGGAGGGACTGGGGAGAAGGAAGCAAGTGAGGGACTCATCTCCAGAGGCTGGCATGGGACTGTGCATCTCAGGTATGCGTGCGTGGTACCAGCTGCTGTGAAACAAGTAGAGTGCCTGTACCATCTTTACCAAAATTGGTGTGTGGGTGTGTGGGGACCAGCTGGTGAGTGGGAGGCCCTGGTTCTGATTCTCCAAGCTCTGGATCTTTCTGGAGGTAGTGGCCACTCATAACACCCTTTAATGCATGTCAGGAGATTTTAAGCCTAAACTCTTAACCCACCTCTTTATTTGGCTATTTGAAGGCTGATCTCAACATATCAGAGGAAATAAAACTCACTGAAACTTCCTTGATCTTCAATTTGCTAGTCTGGATTGAACTTTCATTCTTGCATATAGGAGGGGTCATGGAGTAATAGTTTCCCCAGGGAGATCTGGCAGGATGTTTGCAGCAAGACACAGGTGTTGTATGCATTATATTTTACTTAATAATAATGCATTATGTTTTACCACATAAAGAGCAGATTGTCTTTAAACATCTTGGGTTCTACAGTACACTTATTCTGAATTAGAAAGCAGAACCAAGGTATCAAGAAATGCAAATCCCCAAATTGCAAGAATGAAGAAATTTCAATACAAATTTGAGTTCTAATGAAGTTCAGGTGTAGGAAACTGAGTCAGATCTTGAAAAAATTACCAAAGGAAATGGTCAAGACTAAACAAGTAAAAAATTCACTAAAGAACTGGATATTTGGAGAATATTTAGCATGTTGCAACTAATTACCACTGGAATGTTGGAAAGGATATTAGAGTCTTTTTTAAAGCTGTAAACCAATCTCTGTATGTAGTTCATCATGACACTGGTTCCTGAGAAGACTACTGTATATTTCTTCACTGTACACACCTAACATTTTCCTGGATTACCTGCTCCTGCTCCTGTGTCCCAGGTGCTGAACTGTTGAGACAGAGTTGTCTGTTCTTCCATGAACAGCTTCATTTGCCTAATTTTCTCAATATGCATTGAGTTCTTTGACTGATCACATGCAACATTTTTAGTATTCCTAATACAACTGATTTTCCTCAAATCTGAGTTTTACTATGTAAAACAACTCCAGGATTATGGCTTTATCTCCCAGGCAGATAATGGACAACTGCATTCACAATAATGAATACATGAGAAATGTTGTGAGTGCAGTCAAATGGAGTACTTTTATTCTGTTTAAGCCCCACACATCTAAGTAATTCAAGCTTCAGGCTTGAAGAAACCCAATCAAACTTGAAGAGGCTCTCCTGCTGTGCATTTTCTGTCAGACTGTCAAAAAAAGTGAATGGATCCTAAATCATATTTGGCAATTTCGAGTGGCAAAGACTTCATATTTTCTTGCATCATTATGAATATGAAAAAACTTCTCACTCGTCCTGTGTCATCTTCTGGGGAACAGGATCCCTGCAAAGCTGTATAAAAATGATCATATTCCAATGTCCCAAGCAGCACAGCTGTGACAGTGAGCCATGTAATCTAAAGAGGGAGTACACACTGCTGCATAAAGTAACAGGAAGTGCTGGATGATATTTAAGAGAGTAACATTTCAGCATTCAGTCTAGCATGTAGGGAAAACAGCCTGTGGACACGCATGTCTCACAGTAGCCTGTATGTAGGTTGTCTTCAATGGAAATTCCTGAGTACCTCAGAGTGTGTGGGTGGTTTGCACAGTAGCAAAGTGTTTAAAAACTTTACAGACCCATGACAGATGGCTGTTTTACATGCCCTGCTAAATTACAGATGTGTAACATCTTTCCACCTTTCATGACAGGGTTGGAGCCTGATATTCAAGATTCTTGTTTCTCACAGCATTTCTGCTCCAGTTCTTTACAAGGCATTGTCAGTTTGATCCACTTAGCATAAAAGCTTATCTGCTTGGTTGCAGATAATTACCCAGTATGTTACCAATGTTCAGCACAAAGCTGAACATACCACTTAATCTTCCATGTGGAGCTGAGGCTATCAGAAGGTCTGAGAAAGTTGCCTTGCCTGCTAGCAAGCTCTGGGGTGTGCCACTAGTTCATAATAATTTATAATATTACACTATATTCACATCAGATGTACTCCTGCTATGTTTTCAAATACCATGTTCCAGATGGACTTGGCAGGTCACAACAATAACATAATGTGTGCCTGCAAGCAGCAGCACATCTATTGCAATGTAGTCTGAAAAGACAGGGGCATGTTTTCTTCTGTTGCTCACCTGAACATAATCAAAATATCCGATTTCTACCATTTCTTTAGTAGAGACTACCTCCTCTCACTGAACTCTACACAAACATTGATAAGACTATAGTCAATATTCACTAAATTAATCAGGGGCTTTAAATGTGCATTCAAACCTTTGGTTTCTAGAAGGTGGAAGAAGGAGATAAGCACTTTTATTTTGTTTATTTATTTATTTATTTATTTATTTTGATGTGTCCAGTACAGCCTGGTTAACAGCACAATTTCCCCATTAATCACAGGGCCAGAGCTGCTTTTTCTGTCTGTCTGTGTCTATACCACCTGGTGCAATTGCACAAAGGAAGCAGTAGCACCTACTCCTCCAGGAATCTGGCTGCAGCAGCAGCCTTCAGCCTGTATCTGTGCATCCCACAGTGCTGTCCTGAGACGATGTACAGTCAGCAGAACTACCGCAGATAGAGAAGATACTCCACAGTGTACGCTGCATCGTGTGTGCTAGTCCTGAACACTAGGCACTGTGAGCATGCAAGGTTTCAGTCATTCAGAGGGATGATTGTATTGCATGCATCTTTTGAGATATTCTGCCACTACTTGATAGCTTCAAACGTGCCTCAGGAATGTTTACATGTTGGATGTTTACAATGGCTATCAAATGCACAGTACAGAAATGTCTGCAGGGAGGCACCGGTCCCACAGTTGGGTGAGCTGCCCAGGCAGGCGCTGGTAACCACAGTCCTCTTAAGTCCTGTTTGCCCTTTGCTTAGGAAGTGTTTTAATATTCCATGTACCCTAAACAGGTAAGGAGTATCTCCCCTCATTTAACTTCCACTGCGTGCTAGGGCCTGGTGGAGCTGTGGCTTCAAATCACTTCCAGGAGAGTGCTGAAAATGAATACTCTTAGCTCCAGAGCTACCTGGCAGCAAAAGGGTGTTAGCTCTGCTTCTTGTTTGCAGGGGACCCCAGAAGTAGATCCCACAGTGGGTGCCTACATCTTGAAGGCAGTTGCCCTGACCTTGTGCTGAAACTGCCTAAAATTCCACAAACTAATTCAGAGCCGGAGGGGGGGGAAGTGGGGGAGGAAGGGACTGGCAGAGGGAAGAAGAGGATTAAAGAGAAACAAGATGTTGCACATACAGTGACATTTGTCAGGAAACAAAGGCAAAATACATTTGTGCTTTTGTGTTGTTGGTTTTGTTGTTGTTGTTGTTGTTGTCAGCTGCATAAACATATAGTGACTTGAAGGGAGCGGTGCTAAAACAAAAACAAAACAAAAAAAAAGAGATAATGCACAAACCACCTGTAGTCATTTGTCACAAGCATCAGACAGGAAGCTGTGAGCGCACTGTATTTATCATCCCGGCTATTCAATTACTTATGCACCTACTGACAAATGATATGAAGACACACACAAACAACGTTTTAAAATTCAAAGCTCTGCTTTTGTTTCATTTTGTTTTGCTTTTCAGTGTAGAAGGAGGGAATTAACTCTTCATTTTGTTTGTTTGTTTTTTTTTACCTGTAGGATTAAGTGACTTCAGATCCAAGTTTTATGATCAAAGGTAATTTACCCATAATTTTACCCATAGCCAAACAGAGTGTTTGTAGATTCGAGGCTTTCTGAACTGTCTGATGCCCAGTTTCCTGGATACCAACAGGAAACAGCTACTTGCCTGAGATCAGGAAAACCTAGCTCTTCCATAAGGTATGGCTGAACAGTCGTACCACAGGTATCTCCTGAGCGGTCTTCAAAGAATAAATGCTGAACCACAGAATCACAGAATCATCTAGGTTGGAAGAGACCTTAAGGTCATCGAGTCCAACCTCTGACCTAACACTAAGACTCCCCACTAAACCATATCCCTAAGCTCTACATCTAAACGTCTTTTAAAGACCTCCAGGGATGGTGACTCCACCACTCCCCTGGGCAACCCACTCCAATGCCTCACAACCCTATCGGTAAAGAAGTTCTTCCTAACATCCAACCTAAACCTCCCCTGGCGCAACTTAAGCCCATTCCCCCTCGTCCTGTCACCAGGCACGTGGGAGAACAGGCCAACCCCCACCTCGCTACAGCCTCCTTTGAGGTACCTGTAGAGAGCAATAAGGTCGCCCCTGAGCCTCCTTTTCTCCAGGCTGAACAATCCCAGCTTCCTCAGCCGCTCCTCGTAGGACTTGTTCTCTAGGCCCCTCACCAGCTTCGTCGCCCTTCTCTGGACTCGCTTGAGCACCTCGATGTCCTTCTTGTAGCGAGGGGCCCAAAACTGAACACAGTACTCGAGGAGTGGCCTCACCAGAGCTGAGTACAGGGGGACGATCACCTCCCTAGCCCTGCTGGCCACACTGCTTCTTATGCAAGCCAGGATGCTGTTGGCCTTCTTGGCCACCTGAGCACACTGCTGGCTCATATTCAGCTGACTGTTAACCATCACTCCCAGGTCCTTCTCTGCCTGGCAGCTCTCCAATCACTCATCTCCCAGCCTGTAGCTCTGCTTGGGGTTATTGCGCCCCAGGTGCAGGACTCGGCACTTGGCCTTGTTGAACTTCATGCAGTTGACCTCAGCCCATCGGTGCAGCCTATCCAGATCCTCCTGCAGAGCTATCCTACCCTCCAGCAGATCGACACATGCGCATAGCTCGGTGTCATCTGCAAACTTACTGAGGGTGCACTCAATGCCCTCATCCAGATCATCAATGAAGATATTAAAGAGGACCGGCCCCAGTACTGAGCCCTGGGGAATGCCACTAGTGACCGGCCTCCAGCTGGATTTGACTCCATTCACCACAACTCTTTGGGCCCGGCTGTCCAGCCCAGTTCCAGTGGCCAGTTTCTAACCCAACGAAGCGTGCGCCTGTCCAAACCACAAGCAGCCAGTTTCTTGAGGAGAATGCTGTGGGAAACGGTATCAAAAGCCTTGCTGAAGTCAAGGTAGACCACATCCACAGCCTTTCCTTCATCCACCAAGCGTGTCACTTTGTCATAGAAGGAGATCAGGCTCGTCAAGCAGGACCTGCCTTCCATAAACCCATGCTGACTGGGCCTGATCGCCTGCTTGCCCTGCAAGTGCCGTGTGATGACTCTCAAGAGGATCTGCTCCAAGAGCTTCCCTGGCACTGAGGTCAAACTGACAGGCCTGTAGTTCCCTGGGTCTGCACTCCGGCCCTTCTTGTAGATGGGCGTCACGTTTTCTACCCACCAGTCAACTGGGACCTCCCCCGATAGCCAGGACTGCCGATAAATGATGGAAAGCGGCTTGGCCAGCTCCTCTGTCTGTTCTCTCAGTACCTTCGGCTGGATCCCATCCGGCCCCATCGACTTGCATACATCCAAGTGCTGTAGCAGGTTGCCAAACATTTCTTCGTGGATAGTGAGGGCCACATCCTGCTCCCCATCCCCTTCCACCAGCTCAGGGTACTGGGTATCCAGAGAACAACCGGTATTGCCGCTAAAGACTGAGGCAAAGAAGGCATTAAGCACCTCTGCCTTTTCCTCATCTTTTGTAACAAGGTTTCCCCCTGCATCCAGTAAAGGATGGAGATTCTCCTCAGTCCTCCGTTTTGCACTGATGTATTTGTAAAAACATTTGTTCTTGTCTTTTAGACTTTTTGTTGATCCTTGTGCTTTTGTTTCCCTTCTATCCAGCCTGAACCTGGCCAGTTCCATCTGATGCCACTGCCCCTCCCTCTCCCACCAGGCACTGCTGTGAGGAGCCAGGCCCTGTTTCCTTGATGCCTTCCCCAAAGGCACCAGAGCGTGCTGTTAGGTGCCCCTAAACCTCTTCTGAGCCATGCTGAGCCAGCCCTGGTTGCCTTCTCCTGCCCAGGACCCTACAAAGGACACAGTGCCTGGGCGAGGCCTGATGGGTGCTGAGCAGAGGGCACCATCAGCCCTGCTCTCCCCAGCGAGTAAAGACAGACGGGAGAAAGTCCCCGGGAGCAAGCAGAGGGCTGACTTCCACCCAGCGTGGGAGGAAGCACGGGAGCCCAGAGGGCAGGCCAGCAGTGCTGGGGCATGGGCAGGACTGGAGGGACTGTGTGGTGCAGCCTGAGAGGCAGGCCCGAGCTGTGATCGAACGGACCCTCCTGCTGTATGTGCTTGAAGACACATGGCGTAGCCAAGGTGACCGGGACGGGGCCCTGGGAAGGCACAGCCAGGGACCCCGGCCTGCTGGGAAACACCAGTGCCACGGACAAGACAAAAGTTGGGGGGCATGGAGTGGACACGAGCATTGCGGGAGGCTCAGAATTTGGGGCCAGAGAGCTGCCGAGGTGAGGATGGGCCCTTGGGATACCTCCTACGGGTGGCTGGTGGCGTCTCCAAGCGATGGACTGTGACGTCTGTGAGCAATGGATTGTGACTGCGTGGCCCTCGCTGCTCATATGCGGGCGCAGAGTCCCACCGCGCCGGCTAGTGCCCGCACTCCGGCTGAGCGGTTGCGTGAGGTCTGGAGTGAGGAGCGAGGTTGGCCTTGGTGCTGGTGTCGTGCCCTGGGAGTTGCTGCAGCAGCTCTCAGTGCCCTTCCCAGAGTCATCAGAGCTTCTTCCACGGCCCTGCGTCGTTCGGGCCGTCGGGAGACCCAGGAGGAGCGCTCGCAGCAGCAGAGGTAAGCGCGGTGGGGACACCTTGCCCTGGGCCCTGGGCAGCTGGAAGGCTTTCCTCCTCTGGGGACCTGCACAGCTCTTGCAGCTGCCCCCACAGCAGCCGATGACCGTGGCCTCTTCTCTGCCTTTTGCAGCGTGACAGCTGCTGGTGCAGCAGCAGTGAGGAGGAGCAGCCCCTCATCCCCTGCTCCACGCAGCCCACTGCAGCAGCTGGAGAGCATGGCCACGGCGCTGGAGAGCCGCTGCCCCATTTGCCTTGACACCTGGGACAACGTGGGCTACGTGATGCCATGTCTCCACCAGTTCTGCTTCCGATGCATCCAGCAGTGGGTGGAGAGCAAGCCCGAGTGCCCCCTCTGCAAGAGGAGGGTCAGCTCCATCGTGCACTCGGTGCGGGCAGACAACGAATTTAAGGAGGTCGTCATCCCAGCGCCGGCAGAAGCGTCTCTCATCACCCAGCCGGCTGGGAGAGCTCGTGGCCGCGCAGCCACCACCGACCCCCGTCACCGTCCTGCAGCACCACCATCAGCTGCAGGGCCGGCTCTTGTGGGAGGCCTCCAGCCTGAAGTTTGGGCCTCCCTTTTGCGGGACCACCCAACTCTCATCCGTCCCGTGCTGCCCTGGCTGCGCCAGGAGCTGAGGCGCATCCATGGGGCTGACCACGCGGAGGCGCAAATGGTGGAAGACCTCCTCACCTCCGCCGTGGGCCTCCTGGGGCTGGATGAAGATCGCCTGGTGCAGCTGATGCAGCTTTCCATGCCGGAGCACGCAGCCACCTTTGTGCACCGGCTCATCGGCATCACCGTGCAGCGGTGCAGCTGGGTGGCCCACCGCCTGCTGGGCCTGGAGGGCTCCCGTGCTGCCATGGGACAGGCAGGCAGCCCCGCAGCTGCCCCCAGGCCTTCTGCCTCCCGAGAGGGGCCTCCTGGTGCTGGTGCAGAGCCCTCCAACAGCGCTGCTGGAGCCAGCACAGACGAACTTGCGGGCAGCTCCAGTGTTACCCTTCAAGGGAGTCGCAGCCAGCCCCCCTCCAGCGCGGTTCCTGTCCCCAGGAACCAAGAAGCGCCCCAGGAGGAGACACCGGAGGCTGTGCCTGGAGCCTCCACAGCAGACCAGGGCAGGGACCATCCCCAAAGGGGGCCCCGGCGAGCCCCGAAGAGGAGGGCCCCCACCTCGCAGGCCTCTTCTCCAGCAGCCAAGAAGAGGCCACCCCGCCGGCAACACTAGGGCAGCGCCCCAGGTGCTGGCCACAACAGGGCCGGGCCAGCGGGTGGGGCACACGGAAGGCCCTCAGGACATAAAACTATACAATGTAGAAAATAAATCATATTTATATAAAGTCTCAGTGCAGCTAACAATGTATTTGGTGTCGCCATCCCCAGCCCTACTGCCATCTCCCCCTCTTCCTGCTGCTGTGCCCACCGCCTCCTGGCGTGCCCGCTGTGAGGTGTGGTGGGGTTGGGGCACGGCGATGCTGCCCTTGGCCAGGAGGGCTGGGGTGTTTGTCTCGGCGCTCCCCTCCCCTCCCCAGGTGCCCGGCCCCACTGCTGTGCTCCCCCTGACAGCGCGTGCTGCCCAGCCGCAGGCCTGCAGCTCTGCAGCTGCTCCCAGCGGGAGGTTTGGTGCCAGGGGGTGCCTGGGTTCAACAAGTCCAAGCACCAGGTGCTGCACCTGTGCTCACTCACGAGAGCAGAGCAGAGGGGGACAATCACCTCCCCAGCCCTGCTGGCCACGCTGCTTTTGGTGCAGCCAGGATACGGTTGGCTTTCTGGGCTGCAAGCACACAGTGCTGCCTCATGGTGAGCTTCTCGTCAACCACCACCCCCAGGTCCTTCTCCTCTGGGCTGCTCCCAATCCATTCTCTGCCCAAGCTCTCTTTATCCTTGGCATTGCCCCAGCTCGGATGTAGGACAGAATCACAGAATCACAGAATCGTCTAGGTTGGAAGAGACCTCAAGATCATCGAGTCCAACCTCTGACCTAACACTAAGAGTCCCCACTAAACCATATCCCTAAGCTCTACATCTAAACGTCTTTTAAAGACCTCCAGGGATAGTGACTCAACCACTACCCTGGGCAGCCTGTTCCAATGTCTAACAACCCTTTCGGTAAAGAAGTTCTTCCTAACATCCAACCTAAAACTCCCCTGGCACAACTTTAGCCCATTCCCCCTCATCTTGTCACCAGGCACGTGGGAGAACAGGCCAACCCCCACCTCACTACAGCCTCCTTTGAGGTACCTGTAGAGAGCAATAAGGTCGCCCCTGAGCCTCCTTTTCTCCAGGCTGAACAAGCCCAGCTCCCTCAGCCGCTCCTCGTAGGACTTGTACTGGGTATCCAGAGAACAACCGGTATTGCCGCCAAAGACTGAGGCAAAGAAGGCATTAAGCACCTCCGCCTTTTCCTCATCTTTTGTAACAAGGTTTCCCCCTGCATCCAGTAAAGGATGGAGATTCTCCTCAGTCCTCCGTTTTGCACTGATGTATTTGTAAAAACATTTGTTCTTGTCTTTTAGACTTTTTGTTGATCCTTGTGCTTTTGTTTCCCTTCTATCCAGCCTGAACCTGGCCAGTTTCATCTGATGCCACTGCCCCTCCCTCTCCCACCAGGCACTGCTGTGAGGAGCCAGGCCCCCTTTCCTTGATGCCTTCCCCAAAGGCACCAGAGCGTGCTGTTAGGAGCCCCTAAACCTCTTCTGAGCCATGCTGAGCCAGCCCTGGTTGCCTTCTCCTGCCCAGGACCCTACAAAGGACACAGTGCCTGGGCGAGGCCTGATGGGTGCTGAGCAGAGGGCACCATCAGCCCTGCTCTCCCCAGCGAGTAAAGACAGACGGGAGAAAGTCCCCGGGAGCAAGCAGAGGGCTGACTTCCACCCAGCGTGGGAGGAAGCACGGGAGCCCAGAGGGCAGGCCAGCAGTGCTGGGGCATGGGCAGGACTGGAGGGACTGTGTGGTGCAGCCTGAGAGGCAGGCCCGAGCTGTGATCGAACGGACCCTCCTGCTGTATGTGCTTGAAGACACATGGCGTAGCCAAGGTGACCGGGACGGGGCCCTGGGAAGGCACAGCCAGGGACCCCGGCCTGCTGGGAAACACCAGTGCCACGGACAAGACAAAAGTTGGGGGGCATGGAGTGGACACGAGCATTGCGGGAGGCTCAGAATTTGGGGCCAGAGAGCTGCCGAGGTGAGGATGGGCCCTTGGGATACCTCCTACGGGTGGCTGGTGGCGTCTCCAAGCGATGGACTGTGACGTCTGTGAGCAATGGATTGTGACTGCGTGGCCCTCGCTGCTCATATGCGGGCGCAGAGTCCCAGCGCGCCGGCTAGTGCCTGCACTCCGGCTGAGCGGTTGCGTGAGGTCTGGAGTGAGGAGCGAGGTTGGCCTTGGTGCTGGTGTCATGCCCTGGGAGTTGCTGCAGCAGCTCTCAGTGCCCTTCCCAGAGCCATCAGAGCTTCTTCCATGGCCCTGCGTCGTTCGGGCCGTCGGGAGACCCAGGAGGAGCGCTCGCAGCAGCAGAGGTAAGCGCGGTGGGGACACCTTGCCCTGGGCCCTGGGCAGCTGGAAGGCTTTCCTCCTCTGGGGACCTGCACAGCTCTTGCAGCTGCCCCCACAGCAGCCGATGACCGTGGCCTCTTCTCTGCCTTTTGCAGCGTGACAGCTGCTGGTGCAGCAGCAGTGAGGAGGAGCAGCCCCTCATCCCCTGCTCCACGCAGCCCACTGCAGCAGCTGGAGAGCATGGCCACGGCGCTGGAGAGTCGCTGCCCCATTTGCCTTGACACCTGGGACAACGTGGGCTACGTGATGCCATGTCTCCACCAGTTCTGCTTCCGATGCATCCAGCAGTGGGTGGAGAGCAAGCCCGAGTGCCCCCTCTGCAAGAGGAGGGTCAGATCCATCGTGCACTCGGTGCGGGCAGACAACGAATTTAAGGAGGTCGTCATCCCAGCGCCGGCAGAAGCGTCTCTCATCACCCAGCCGGCTGGGAGAGCTCGTGGCCGCGCAGCCACCACCGACCCCCGTCACCGTCCTGCAGCACCACCATCAGCTGCAGGGCCGGCTCTTGTGGGAGGCCTCCAGCCTGAAGTTTGGGCCTCCCTTTTGCGGGACCACCCAACTCTCATCCGTCCCGTGCTGCCCTGGCTGCGCCAGGAGCTGAGGCGCATCCATGGGGATGACCACGCGGAGGCGCAAATGGTGGAAGACCTCCTCACCTCCGCCGTGGGCCTCCTGGGGCTGGATGAAGATCGCCTGGTGCAGCTGATGCAGCTTTCCATGCCGGAGCACGCAGCCACCTTTGTGCACCGGCTCATCGGCATCACCGTGCAGCGGTGCAGCTGGGTGGCCCACCGCCTGCTGGGCCTGGAGGGCTCCCGTGCTGCCATGGGACAGGCAGGCAGCCCCGCAGCTGCCCCCAGGCCTTCTGCCTCCCGAGAGGGGCCTCCTGGTGCTGGTGCAGAGCCCTCCAACAGCGCTGATGGAGCCAGCACGGAGGAACTTGCAGGCAGCTCCAGTGCTGCCCTTCAAGGGAGTCGCAGCCAGCCCCCCTCCAGCGCGGTTCCTGTCCCCAGGAACCAAGAAGCGCCCCAGGAGGAGACACCGGAGGCTGTGCCTGGAGCCTCCACAGCAGACCAGGGCAGGGACCATCCCCAAAGGGGGCCCCGGCGAGCCCCGAAGAGGAGGGCCCCCACCTCCCAGGCCTCTTCTCCAGCAGCCAAGAAGAGGCCACCCCGCCGGCAACACTAGGGCAGCGCCCCAGGTGCTGGCCACAAGAGGGCCGGGCCAGCGGGTGGGGTACACGGAAGGCCCTCAGGAAATACATCTATACAATGTAGGAAATAAATCATATTTATATAAAGTCTCAGTGTAGCTAACAATGTATTTGGTGTCAGCATCCCCAGCCCTACTGACATCTCCCCCTCTTCCTGCTGCTGTGCCCACCGCCTCCTGGCGTGCCCGCTGTGAGGAGTGGTGGGGTTGGGGCACGGCGATGCCACCCTTGGCCAGGAGGGCTAGGTGGAAGATTCGGAGCTGGTTGCCAGATGTGCCTTTTGTACACTTGACAACCTGCCTGTGCTTGTGGTCATCAGACAATATTTCTGCTTCACTGGCAGTTTTTCCATCTCCTTGGCTGGGTCACCAGTTGCTCCAGCATGTAGCTTCTAGTCAGCAAGAGGCCTCAGTTTCCCTTTCCTTCAGTCACACTCTTTTCTGCCTTTCTGTTCATCTCTGCTTTTATTTCCCTGATAGGGCATCCCGAGAAGCTGCACGCAGCTGTGCTGTGATCTCAATGAATTTGAAGCGTGGGTGCCACCACTACCTGCTGTGCTTACGGGGCCTCCTCAGCCATCCCTTCCAGAAGCTTCCACACACAGCTGCTACCTTCCATGTTTCATAGCAATCACCAAAGTCCAGAAGCACGCCTGCTGCAAGGGGCTTGAGGAGGTTGTACAGCCCCACTGGCTCAGCACATGGTCAGCACTGAAGTTAGACCTGGAGACTCGGGGTCGTGCTCACTCAGGTCTTGAAATCCTCTGTGCCCAGGGGTCCCACAGCCTTTCTGGACAGCCACTCCCTCCAGTGCTTGATGATCACAGAATCACAGAATCACAGAATTTCTAGGTTGGAAGAGACCTCAAGATCATCGAGTCCAACCTCTGACCTAACACTAACAGTCCTCCGCTAAACCATATCCCTAAGCTCTATGTCTAAACGTCTTTAAAAGACCTCCGGGGATGGTGACTCCACCACTCCCCTGGGCAACCCATTCCAATGCCTCACAACCCTTTCGGTAAAGAAGTTCTTCCTAACATCCAACCTAAACCTCCCCTGGCGCAACTTTAGCCCATTCCCCCTCGTCCTGTCACCAGGCACGCGGGAGAACAGACCAACCCCCACCTCGCTACAGCCTCCTTTAAGGTATCTGTAGAGAGCGATAAGGTCACCTCTGAGCCTCCTTTTCTCTAGGCTGTACAAGCCCAGCTCCCTCAGCCGCTCCTCGTAGGACTTGTTCTCCAGAGCCCTCACCAGCTTCGTCGCCCTTCTCTGGAATGTCTGTTACTAACCTGAAGCACAGGGAGGACACAGCAACACCATATGCTTCTATTTTTATTCCGTTTATCCCACTAGATCTAGCTGTGGCCTGCTTGCGAGCAGGAGTGTTAGAGCCTTTTTCCAGCCTTTACTGACATGCAGAGACTTCTCCAGTAAGGACAGATTGCAACTTGAAAGGACTGTGCTCCTGAAAGTTACATTAATTCCAGAACAAGACCTCACCTGAGTAAACCTCACATACATTCATTGGTGGTTACAGGACAGACATCTGGATGGAGCAGGGTAGAATATGTTAGTCAGCTCCACCACAGATACAGCAAATTCCTTTCCTTTTATCAATTTACATGGATTAGGTATTTTATTGTGATAAAGCCAGGTAAGGGTAAGTGACATGATTTGTCCGAATTTTCTAGAGAACAAGCCACTGGAGAAATAACATCTTCTAAAGCACATCCCTTGGTTATTCACGTAAGAGATGTCAGCATGATTTCTACACACTGACTGTGTCACAGTGTTTTAAATAGCTGATTAAAGAGGGCTACAACAACCCACTGAACTATGCTAGCTATTCATGGAATAATGTCAATTTAAACTCTACAGAGAAGAGAACAGACCAGTCGTAACACTACCCTAGTGTTTGAAGACAAGTTTCTTCTCTTGCATTGCCCTGCTCTTATGCCCTGACTGAGGAGCACTGTATCTTCCCCTTAGGCTCTGTTGCAGAGGGTAGAAAACAAGCACAGAAAAAAAATAAAATAATAATAATAAAATTGGAAGTATGATTTTGCTATATTAATGATTTCAAACAGGAAAAAACAAACAAACAAACAAAAAAAAAAACACAAGCAAACAAAACAGGCAAACAAACAAAAGCCCAACCACCGCCACCACCAAAAAACTTTGTAAAGTTTCAGTGAAAAAACGAAATGTGAATCACTGAGCAAGGTGTTTTTTTCTTTGTTCTTTCTTTCTATTTTTTTCCCCCATTAATTTGTGATCTTTTATGCCACCGCACCTTTAAAATAACCAAACCATGCAAGATTCTTAAGGAGTGTCAGAGGTTAGAGTGAGGTAATCCGCACAGCTCACACATCTCCTCTCACATTGTTAACATTAGCACCTAGGAGTGATGTGTACAGTATTTTTAGACCCTATCTGATGAACAATAATTTCATTTCTTTTATTTCAGTAATTTTGTTTTTCAAATCCTACCCTGAAAGGGTATGAAAATAAACTAGCACCGGATCCCCAGCTCGCTAAGGGGCATTCACAGCTCAGAGAAAAGCTGTGTCATAAAGGAGCACATTAACTTTTAAGAAAGCGCACGGAGTGAAGTCCTGCCTCCCACAATGCTTCACAAGAAGTCCAAGTTGCTAATCAAATATCATACCAGAAAATAAAGCCTCAATGTGTTAAAAGCTACAAGGAGCAGAAAAGAAAAGCTGTGAAATTGCAGGAGGTGGTTGTTGGAAGGTGAACCAAGTTCAGAACAAATGGTGTTTAACGCATGGTCCATTTCACCAAAAAGTAGAGATAAAGTGCAAACGCCGACTATCTAAGGCAACACAAGAATTTATGGGCAAGGCCTTTTCCCAGAAAGGATGTTTGTCTGCCTTTTCCTCCTAGCTATGTACGTAAATGTAAAGTTTTATAATGATTAAATAGCATACCTGTCATAACACAGTAGTCCATTAGCAAAGCTTAGTCAAGCAACAAATATTCACAAGAAATCACAGTATGCTGTTGAACATCAGTGATGATTATAACTTCTTAGGAGCACAGCAACTGCCAAAATAAAGAGAAGCCCTATATTTGCCAAGGCTACAATTTAATCCAGAGGGAAATATATTATCAAACCAGTACATTTTGAACCGAGTGGGTTTTCAAATTCTGTTAATAACTTCACAGATACCAACCTCCCAGCTGACAAAGAAATCTTGACCACGAGGAACCCATGGCAACAGTCCCCGTCACCTAAAAACAGCTTCAGGAAGGAAGGAGAGATCAGAGTGCACAGGTTAATTACTAAGTACAAAGGAAAGCAAATGGGAAAGGGAGAGTTGGATGTTCAGAAATTAGAAAGTATGCCTAGAAGATGTGGAGGCACGTAGTTCAGGAGACAGCAGATTTCACTCCCTGTACTGAAGAAGGATGCACCTGTAGTTTCACAGTGATTTCTGAATCAAGTCTGCTACTCACCGTAATCCTGAAAGAACCTCAGGAGAAACTGAAAGGCAACCAAAGCTACCTCAGATAGTTTGGAGGCACAGATAGCAAAGTTGTCTGGGGACACAATGGGAATGTTTGCATTCCTAATGCTCTGTGGCCCAGAGAAAGCTTGTCACTTAACAGGCCTTGGCCATTAGGATGGCAGCTCGGGCTGTCCCAGCTTCTAGCAAACTTTTCTCATTTTGGAACTGGAGAGAAACAGCTGGAGCCAAACCTAGCACTCCACAGTGGTCTCTGTTAGCATTGTTAGCAGCATGTGCAGTCATCAGTCTGCTTTCCACACCTCTCACAGTTTCAAGACTTTAGTCAGCAACAATTGCTCTGGAAGAAAAGGTGAGGGGTATGGACCATTAGTCTAGACCATGGATGTCAAGTCAAGCCCATAAGGCCCTCAAAAATACCTTGAATTAATTTGGTTGCTTTGCAGAAAGACTGTTAGGATGCAGCCTTTGCAAGTAAGCTGTCTGCCACAGTTTAAGGATATCTCTAGTAGTGAAGAAAAGACAGAAGCGCAATGCCAATGCATGGGCTGGCACGTGGCAGAACACACTCTGACATCATATTTTTCGTGTCCCTCAGATACACTAGTAAACACAGAAGTATTTGCTCAGTTTGTTGGCCTTGCAGTACATCATTGTAACTAAACTATCCACATTCTCATCTGATCTGCTCAGCCCAAGGAAAACAGATGCAGACCGACTAACTCTATGAGAGTTCATACCACTCAGCCAAAGAGAGAAAGAGAGGAGCACATCACCAGTCTGGCTGCTTTGTAATGCCAAGGAAAGCAGAATGTCTAGCATTCTGAGGCCTTGTGGTATTTCCTATAAGAAGTATGCAATAAGTTGGTGCTGTTTGCTACTCAAGCCCACATAAACTTATTTCACCACTGTTCTGCTGCAAACTTCAATGTTCAGCTTCTGATTTTCTCCATTGCCTCAGCAAACTGAGCCTTTGTTTAGGTCCAGTCCTCCTGGAGCTGGACTTGAATTTGGGATCTGGGGGATGAAAAGTCTTTTAGGAAAGGCAGAACTTTCTTTACTCCTCCAGTGTATGCAGTAGAAGGATGAGGAAAAGAGGTGCTTTTTAGGGGCAATAAAAAGTAGTGAAGCACTTGTACATACATTGGAAGAGAAACTTGAAAAAATCATATCCTTTGTTGTCTCACTGGGGCAGATGATTCTTGTGCATGCAAGACACCAGTCCCAAATTTGTTCTAAGCCCTTTTTATGTCATGGGTGATGCAAAAACTCTCATGAGACCTTCCCAGGCTATGAAACCCTCCTAAAAAGAGGGAGAGATATGTTGCTCATAAAGTGAGTCATCATGGTCACAAGAAAATGTCCCGGATGGAGACAGAAAAGCATACATCACTACTTCCAATGCTCCTAGAACCACGAGTCAACTGCATGCCCTTTGCAAACAGACAGCAGAAGACTTAAAGCAATTTCAAAAGTCTGACAACAGAGATTTCCATTGTAATCAGTAGAAAATTTGCATGAATTTCCTGGAGTGGAGTCTAACTGTGCAGAAAAGTGGTACAAAGGATTTTTTTTTTTTCCTGAAGAAAGTGAATCCAACCGTAAAATAACAATATAATCTCGATTTAGAAAGATAGGGGAAACCTGAATCTGGTGTTCTCAAATCACCTCTCGAGAATTTATTATTTTGGAAGCAAACAGTGGTTTGCAGAACGTGAAGATCCCCAGGCAATTATTTTTCCTTGTATATGCGTTAGTGTTTTAAGAGACTGGTCTGGCCATGGGAGGTTGAGGCGTACCCATCTTATAACAGCACTAAACAGACACAGCAGAAACATTCTGTTCTCAAGTCTTTACTGTTTTATTCTACTGTAGAAGGTGTTGTTGTAAACCTGTATATATAATCTGGAGCCCTAATAAGCAAGAATTAAAAGCGTTACCAGTAGAGACATAAAGTACCAAACTTTCTCCCAGCTGTGCTCATATGACCAATATACACCGTTCTAATAAACAAGTTAGTGGTGTGTAAATCTTCACACAAGGCAACAAAGGTGAAAAAACTGTAATTCAGTCGGGCTCATACAGCTAAACAACAGCTATGTTATAGCGACATTATAAACTTCCCCAAAGCATTATGGGATAACATGAAATCATTCTTCTGCAAGAGAAGGATAAATAACACTTTCATTAAAATATCTTCTCCTGTATTGGGCAGGTCAAACCAGTTAACAGTGTTAATGATCCAGACTCAGGAAAAGGAGGCAGTACAAGAACACCCCGAAGAACGGGCGTCCCTCTCAGAAAGTCTTCTCTGTTTATTTTGTCACAAAAGTTCCTTTTCTGCTTCCTAAGGCGAGAGCCCTGCCGCTCGGCTCCCCCTGCGTCTCAATGCAGCCTTATCACATGCACTGCCGAAGTCAGTAGCGAGGCCAAGAGAGGGCAGAAAAGCCGGTGAGCGCCGCTGGTGTCCGTGCGAGCATGGCTGAACCGCCCGTGGCCCCGGGGTTGGGGTTCGACGGTGATGTACCCGTTGATGATGCGGATCCGCGGAGGAGGGTCGGTAGTGCTGCAAGGCAAGCAGAGAAGGACGTCAGCCCAGGCTGAGCACAGAAATGGCTGGGGCACACAGAGCAGGATATCTCCACCCTCTGCTCCCCAGCGCCCACCTACCAGGATCCTGAGACACTGGGCACAGTCTCTTGTGCTGTCTCGGTGCTCACCAAAGGACTGTGTCACTCCGTGTCAGCGCTGCCTCTCCCCTGCCCCAAGAAGGACTCCCCGGTCAGCCTGCCCACCACTCCCACACAGTCATCAGGTGGGTGAGCACTCCCAGCACCCTGCAGCATGCCTCTCAGCTGAGCAGGAAGGAAGAAGGACAAAACCACCTGTGCAGCAGAGCAGAGTCACTGCAGCAGCACTTTCTCTACAGGAGGAGGCACCTGCTTTCAGCTGAATCCATATCTCACAGACATACTTCTGTACGTGCAGCTTAGCCTGGACGAAACTCACTCATATGCTGTGTATTCCCTCCCACAGGTCAGGAATTACAAAGTGTTTAAATAAAATGCTTTAAGGAGAGGAAGAGTTGCTGCCAAAAGCACTCCCTAGTGCCCCAGACAGAAAAGTCACAGTGAAAAATGATCACTGCATCCCCGAGCATCTCTGGCAGTACTGAGGGCTCTGAGGCAGTAATAAACAAGAAACTACATTTTTGTTCAAACCCCATGTACTGCTACATTCCCACCATGACAGCACATGTGGGAGGAGGAGAATTTTACACTTCGTGCTGCTAATACCAAATGCCTTGAGCCAGGTGAGCTCCGACAGTGTTGTGCTGCAGGTCACGACTCAGAAGGGCTTGGTACTAAACAGGTGTTTTTCTCTTTGATCAATGGATTAAAGCCTTGTGTTACCCCACATCTATGAGGCTGGCGTACATCCCAGGGCCTTGTGGTGCTATTTGGAAGCTGAAGACAACGTCTGACAAAGTTAAAAGCAAACCTGTCTGCCAAACACAAAGGAGTCATCTCTCCTGCACACGGTCCCTAGCTGCTGTGCTCCATTCCTGCCTTATTTTGGCTGACTGTTTAAAGCAAAAAAACGCTTTGGGAAATTGAAGGCTACTAGTACCCTCTTCAAAAACTCTTGCCCTTCCATATGCAAACGTCCCCACAGGAGGTTTGAACAGCACCAGCAGAGAAGCCAGCTGGCGGCACAACAAAGAAATACAGCTGTCAGCTGATACATGCATACAGGAGCACGGACCAAAGCCATTCAGCCGAGCCCACTACAAGATTGCATTAAATCACTCCAGCTACGCCTTTCACGTTTCCATGCTGAGAGGCCTGAAGTTACAAGCGACCCAGGCCCATGCATCAGAAGCCTGAGTGCACTACCTAGCTGTGTCAGGGCAGCCAGGGCAGTGCGAGTAGGGCTGAGACCCGTGTCTGGATTTCCGTGGGGACACGGGGCGGCAGTGCCAGCAGATGGGGCTCTCAGCCCAGCCCAGGGCTGCACAAGCAGACGATGCAGCAAGGGCTGCCTGCACCCCTGGGATCTGGGGGCAGAGAGCCTGCCGATGCTCCCTGCTTTACAAAGAGCTGTGTCTAAGTGACAGCTGCCTCGCTACCATCTAGCACCTGGGTATATTTCTAGCTCAAAGGATGACAGCTAGTAGGGGAAGATAGGAAACATCACAAGCAAACAGGAAGGGAGGTGTTTGCTGCTCCTGTATTTATGTCATAGTTTCCTAAATTGTCATCATTAGCTCTCCTTTTATGTCACTATTGTCTTACAGTACTGGCAGTCCACTATATTCCCTTAAAACACCCCTGATTTAGTCACAGTAACTCATCCTCCCATATTCCGTCACCTGAAGGCACCAATGCTCACATCAGGGCACCCATAGATGCTGCTGAACATCATAGGAATACCTGCATGTGAAAAACTGAACATGCTGGGGTGCAGGTAGGATGAGAGATTGAATTCAGAAAGACTAAACCATTATTTACTGTTTCAGCTAAACAAATTGTCAACAGAAGCTCCAAAAACCTATTAATTAATACCTGGTATCAGCTACATTAATAGAAATTACACGTTAAACACTAAGTCAGATGTGGTCAATATAATGATTCATTGTATCAGTGAATTTTGGACTGTGTATAGGTCTGCCAGTGAGCATGCAAACCTCCGTGTGCACTTGCCTCCCTTTCTCTCCAAACTACTCACACTTAGGTTGCAAGGAGGAACAGAGAGAAAGTGCACAAAATTACTCTAGAAAAGAGGGAATGGAGTCTGGTCTAAAAAGTTTGACAATGTCTGAATGCTTGGATCAGAAAAAAACAGCTGCTGCACTTGTTTGCAGCCAGTCTGAGAAATTTTATTACTCAAGGCAGTGGTAGAGCTGGGACCAAGGGATAAGATATAACACAGCATAGGAGATATACTCAGTACCTTGGGGAACAGGAATACACTTTTGAGGGAGAATAAAATGAATATAAAAACTTAAGTCCCAGAACTGTAGGCTCTTCTCTATCATCCTGACCTCCTTGGTTATTTACAGCACCACAAAAATAAAATGTTTTCAACCTGAATGTGGCAGAGATATAAAAAGAGCCGAAATCAGGCCTGTGTGTTATCCGACAGGAGGCAAACATTAAGGTATACATTTAGCCACAGGCCTAAGTATAGCTTGTGAAGGAGAAGTAGACTTTTTTTTTTTTTTTTTTTTTCCCCAGGCTGCTATAGTTCCTGTAGGTGAATAAGCTCTTCGGAGTGAAAAATAGGGGGAAGGTGTGAACCTTCTCCCCACAGCATACTCCATTTTTCATCTTAACTCAGTCATGCATTGGGTTGTCATCCCCCTTTCTAGATCTCCAGTAATGCCATGGGGATTGCACATTCTTTAGCACTGGAAGAATACAGAGAATGGAAATGCTGAATATTAAAAAAATAGATCACATAGCACAGCATGGATTGGAAGGGACCTTAAAGTTGACCTAGTTCCAACCCCCCTGCCATGCGCATGGATGCCACCCACTAGATCAGGTTGTCCAGGGCCTTCTCCAACCTGGTCTTGAACATGTCCAGGGATGGGGCAATAATTATGGGGCATAAATATTGCACAAATGCAAGGATCACATACACCAGATGTAAGAGTTTCCACATATGCAGCAGCTCTTGGACAGAGGTCCAAGACTGCAGGCTGTACCATCTACCAGTGGGCCCAGCCATGTGTGATGAAGCATACTGCCATATGCTCACAATCTCTCAAGCTCAAATAGAAAATGGTTCAGGCAAGGCTTCCACCTGTATTATGGATAATTTTCCACAAACCTAACCATGCATGAAAAAGCTATTTAATCACTAAAAGCACAAGCAACCTTAAGTAAATGTCTCAGCAGGAATCGTGGTGAGGGAAAGGATCAGATCCTATCCTCATCGTGTACCTAGCCTTTGCAGAAGCTTGGCCTACTCAGTCCAAGTTAAAATCAAATTTGTTTGACAAGCCCGCCTCCCCTGCCCCGTTAGCTACCTTTCTTCAATGCGAACCCAGAGGTCATTAAACTGCCGCAGTCTTTGCTTCTTCTGCTGCTTCTTCTTCTTCTTTTTGTACTTCCTGTCCACCTTTTCCAGCACATCGATGCCGTCAGGGAGCAGCAGGTGAGGCAAGAGCTCTTCCTCCTCCTCTTTCCAGGGGTGCAACGGTGGAGGTAGCTCCTGTGACTCTACATAGGGGCTGTGTGCTGGTGAGGACGATGAGAAGGCTAACAAGCTTTTGGGGGGTTTTCCGCTGGAAGAAGGAGGAAACGCGGATAATGTTTGAAAGGGCTTTGAGGCAGAATCCTTGTACAGATACCATACATGAAACAAGCGTTTCTCCCTGGCATACAGACTGGGTGGTTATTTCTTTGTGTTGTATTCCTACCCCCCTCTTCCTAAAGTAAATATTCTGATCAAAATGGTTCTCTAAAATAAAAATCTTTGGAAATAGTTAAGCTGGACCTGAGTAAAGAATGCAGTCTGGCTCGAAGTAGAATAACAGCTGGGAATAACATTGCATATCTAGAAAGACAAGAGAGCAATCACCTTTTAAGTCAGAGAAGGTCAAATCTTTCTCCTCTAGTTTGACCTCCTGCAGAATACATCCCAGACTATTCCTTTCAGCAGTTCCTGCACAGACCCAACTAACTTGGTGGGGAGAGGAAGGGGCAGGAAGAGAAGGCAAGCAATGAGCTAGCAGAGACTGTGGTGGTCATGGTACAGAAATGCATCCTGAAAATGATTATCTTAGAAGGAAATATCTCAATATACCATTAAACGATCCTCTGGACCATCTAGTCTGCAAGTAACTGGCAGTAGACTAGCTACAGCAGTGCCAAAATTGCATTTTCTCTCCTATGAAGCCAGGTGGCACAGAGTAGTGAATACAAAGCATTTATAAAGCATCAGGTCAGGGGGCATGTCTGAGGCATAAGGGATCAGACTTCAACTCAGTATTGCAGCATTTACTTCTAGTGTAAATATCTATTGCTGCCATGCTGATCTGCAGAAAGAAATAATGCTATTCAGATAAGCTTACTGAGGAGCATGAACACGTGTCTTTGAAAGGGCTGTTTCAGACAAGTATGGAGGTCCAAATGGGGGGCAGAGAGGAAGGAGGTAGAGCAATCACAGCTCTACCACAACGCAGAAGGAAGCTTTGCATGCATTTATATTAAGTAGTGAGGGAGTAGAAGTCAGGGCTTCAGCTTTCTAGCAGCATAGGTCCTAGACTTAAAAGTGTCTGGTTCGAGCTGGCAGCTTTATCTGGAAATTCACAGCAGCTACAGCATGCTACAGTGAGACTATATGCATACACAAGCTCTCTCACATGTGAGGTCTGTGAAGCCCAAGGGAGCACTCAGTCAAGCCTCCAGGAAAGGCTGTCAGGGCTGTTCTAACCCAGCTTAGTGTGAAGGTGATATGTCAAAGAAACAATCAGCTCCACCATGATTACTCCAGCTCTGTCTCATTATACTTTAAGCAGGCAACATCTCCCCATCCATACTCTGAGACATGCAGTCTGCATGCAGTCTCCTGTCCGGTCCTGGCTTTGCTGGCCCACATGTCTCATTGTCACTTGGAACAAAGTGATTCCACCTCTTTTCTAATTTGCAAGCGTCCTGATCAAACTCACATGCTCTATCCACTCCATAGATCCACAGTGCACAACACTAATATCTGCCTGATCTGTAGGCTATTTCATAAAGAGAAAAAATGCAGCAGTTTTCTGTAAGAGGACAAGGCTGGAGACTGGCTTGAACTGAAATCCAGGAAAGTAACAAAAGAGCAGAGGCCACTGTGCAGAAACATGGCTTCAATCACTGAAACCTTTCCAAAATTATAAGCTGTGTTTCTTTTCTGCCCTGTAATGTAATGGAAGGAGGAAATGCTGCACACATTTCAGCACGGCTGAGTTTTAAAGCTATCCCATCACCGTGGACACGTCTCTTTTATGGACAGTAAAGAGGGTTCATCCTGAAAGAGGATAAATGAGGTTGTGGACTAGACCACGAGGGAGTGAGCAGATGGAAAATGAAGAGAATCTGATCTAATTTCCTGCAAGGAGAATCACAGACATATCATATGGTGAGCTTTATGTGACAAAGATCACTGCAGAACGGGTTGTGGGCTACTGATCTCTCAGAATCTTTGTGATTGTCACAGTTTCACTTTACCACCTCTGAGGTGTCACAACACTTCAGCTCTCCTCCACAACATCGTCATATCCCCCAGCTCCCCCTACTGCGTGATGCCCATCCAGTTCTAGGGATGTACTTTGATTGCTTTAAAGGTCCTCTGCATATGGTTCCCTTTTATCTGATTTCTCTTCCCTGTATCTCTGTCCTTTACTGGTGAAAATCTCCAAGTGGGCTCCACTGCACCTCCTCTGTTGATAAGACTGCCTTACTGCCTGCATCATCCCTAACAAAATTCATGGCTATGAGATGCTGGAGCTCAGCACTGCTATAAGCAGAGCAAGAATGACCTCCAAAATGCATGGCCAGACATTTATTCTGGTAACTGCAGCCTCAGAGCACTAAGAACAATGGACACTCAGGTACATAACCTCCTCTTCAACTCCTTCTGCAGGTGATTCTTCCAGAGACCCGTTAAGCAACTGCAGGAAAAGGCACACAGATACAGAAGATACAGACACAGATACATCTTTCCACCAAGGACTCTGCCATACTCTTGACATGGGTCCTACCCCAACCACAATGTCCTCCTTTAGAACTCACATTTTGCTTGAAACTCATTGCATATTCTTAAATCTGTTTCCAAGTCATCCAGAAGTACTAAAACCTTTTCTCAGAGAAAACACTCCAGGAAAGAGCTTCTGTCCAGTATTGCTGATGGAGTGCCTGAGATGCAATTAGTGCCAAAAGGAGTCCTGTCAAAGGCACAGCAGCAACTGGTTGGACAGGGAAATCACAGGGTGCTGTCAGAGGACCTGGGTGCCTACTTACCCTAAGAATCAGTGATCACCTGTGTTCCTGACGGGTGAATAAGCTTGCCCTCCTCTCCACAGTTGCCTGCCCTTAATTTCCTCAAGCTACTCCTTTACAGAGCAGCAGAAGATTCTTTTTAGAAGATGCTATGGCTGTTTTAAGGACTATCTAAGCTAAGACTCTTAAAAACCAACAAAAGAACATCAAAAAATGAGTGCAGGTTTTTGATTATCCCCGTAAACACTGATATACTGGGCTGCCTAGCATGACTTCAGTCAGTATTTCAGGATTGTTATGTCTTGTGGGTAAGCACAGAGGATTTCTCTATGTCAGATTGCCTACCCATTGGTGGCAACGGGGTTAGGGGAAGTGCTGATGTACTTATAGGGATGGATCTTGGCTAGACACTGTTTCAGTGCAAGTAGCCTTAATGATGTATGTCCACGTCAGGAATCACAGCAAAAACCTGACCTGGCAGAGTTTGAATATCATGGTCTGAAACAGGCAGCAAAAGTGCTGCAAAAAGAAGGGTGAAGCAACCAGAGCAGGAGAAAAATATCTGATATTATTTCGCACCACATCTTTCTGGAGCCTTTGGCATAGACCAAGACTCTGAATGTGCCCCCTGAACAATCCACATAGGAGTAAAGGGTCATCATTTATCCTAAAAACCCTGTATCAGAAGTGTGGGGAAGGAGGGACAGAGAGGCAAGAAGTGAGGGCACCATAACTGCAATCAAAACTTTTTTCCACTGTGGTCTTTTAACAGTGACTACAGTGAAGAATGAAGGTATCTGAGAGATGCCAAGGGCACATGTTTGGAAAGAGACCGTAGAAGGGGGAGAAAATCATTGCAGATCCTAAGCTGGTGGCAAGATGTCCAGGAAGAGGTGAGCTGAGAGCACATGTAATTTTCTGCAGAGTGTGGAGGAGGAGATTTTTTGGCATTCTGTAGTAACTGAAACCATGGAGATAGATGAAGGCACCTAGTGAGAGAAAGAGAGGCACTAAGGGGGTAACCTGAAGGAGCTGCAGGATGAACCAGAGCAGCAAGTACCTTGGCTTAAAAATGCAGAAAAGAGCAGGGAACTTGAGAGCAGTCATTCATGGGCACAGCTTGGAAAGAGACTAGGTGGACTCTGGGCAGTCAGATTCAAAGCTGAGAGACAAAAATCAGAAAGAATGGAAAATGGCAGTGTAAGAGAAAGTGTTGAAAGGTAGGGCAACCAAGCACTTAAAAGCAATGGAGGAGAAGCCTCTCTCATACCAATGTGGTATGAGACAGCATCCAGGTCTGCTGCATCAAGCATGCATGCTCTACAGCTGTTAGTTTAAGAGTTAAAAACTTACAAGGAAAAATATTTATTTTATCAAAAAGCACACAAGCCAAGCCCAATAAAATCTTGTTTCCAAATCTGCTTATGGGGGAGAAAAGTAAACTGCTTGGGAGCACAGAGAGAGCCTGGCTCACTGTTTGGTATAGTTTCAGCTGCCACTACCTCTTCGTGACTGTTTACAAACCCACCCTCCCCGTGGCTGCTCAGCTACAATAAAAGCATGCATTACTTGTTGATGGCTTGTCCAGCTGGAGTATGTTCTACCTCGTACCCTTCTCTCCTCAAAACATCAATCACTGTGTTGTTGCCCATGAAGTGACCTGCAGTTAAGAAAAAAATGACATCAGAACTCAAGGAGCAAAGGGGAAGAGAGAGGACAGCAACAAAGTCCTTCCTGATCACAGGACCCGTGCTGCACCCAGGGCAGGCAGTGCTTTATCACTCCCTGCGAGCACGTACCAGAAACACAGGATCTGCAACGAGTGATTACTGCACTTTCCCAAGGTCTTTTCAGTTACCACATTCTGCCATTTTAAATTGCAGATGTGATTGAAATGTCTCCCATCCAGCAGGCTGTTGCACTGTCAGGCCACTGTGGATTTCTTGGTACAATAAAGGATTAAGTTGTGAGAGACCTGGTCAGGAGCCGCAGTCAGCCTACGACTGGGATGGTGCAAAGTAGGTCAGCATCTGGCCGCAATGTGTGCGCCATTTTAACATCCTCAGGCATCAGGAAGGCACTAACTGAGATGTCAGTCGACATCACTGACAATTTTTAATTGATTAAGAAGCGTATAACCGCAGCAAAGAGAAAACAGCTCTGAAAGCCCATGACTTGGGTCAACCCTTTTTCATTTTTTTCAATGTAAGCCACTGGGGACAAAAACTTCACTTCAGTTGTGTTGACAAAAATTTGTGAAGGATTTAGCTAGCTCTGCTCTAATTCCGTGATTTATGGCTCCATTCCACTTTCAGCCAGATGTGGTGGCTGGTCAGCCTGTGATTTGGCATCATCGTGAATAAATGATTACTAAAAAGGGTGTAGGGATTCTGAAGGACTGTGCGCTCTGCATGCTGACTGACTTTCACAATCACAATCAAACAAGGCTGCTGAGAAGCAACAGAGGGCTGGCACGGGCCCTCATAAATCTAGCATTTTGAAAGCATTTGTTCATTTAACAGCCTGCATTAATTAAAGCTAGGCTTGAGCAAATGACTTATTAAAGAGCTCCCTTGCCTTTGCAGATATAGGCAGCACTAAAATTGGTAATTTCAGAAAAACTGTTTTTTTGCTAATATTCTTCAAAAATAAGTGGGAATAAAATGACCAGAATGATTCTAGTGGACAGAAAAAGCAAGGAGTTAAGAAAAAAGTCCAGTGGTGATGAAATTAACAGGTACTAAGCTCAAAGAATTTATGATTTTCAGTCCAAAACAGGTTGAATGAACTGAAGCATAAAATTCCCTTTTCTCATGCCACAACAGTAAAGGACTTATGAAATGTCAGCTTAATACATGGTATTTGGATGGTATAATTTGAGCACATATTTTCTAAACAAGCCTAAGAAATCAAGCAGATCTAGCTCAAATGAGACCATTTAATGAGGCAATGTAAATTGCACCAACAGGTATCGTCTCATCAATAACTCCATTTTCCTCCAACCCCTCAGTCTACCTTCAGAAAGAGGAAAGCTTGACTAGGATGTGGACTTAACCTAACACTGCTGCTATCTGTTGCTTGCTAATGTTTCAGCCTCAGGTCCGGTTAACATGTGGAAAGTGAGAGTTTCCTCATGCCAGTGAAGAGACCTGATGCACTAGGGAACAGGAATGATTGTAATTAAACGTCATAATCAAGTAAGAGTAGCCATTGGAAGGTCAACATCAGGCAAATAGGGTGCCAAACCTAGTTGTTACCTCTTACTTTTAACACAGGGGAGACACAAGCATCAGGAGGGAGGGAGGGGATTAATTTACTGATCTCCAGGCTCCCCTGCCTCCAGGCAGCAGAAGAATGGGCATCTCCAAAGAGTGATTCACCCTCTTGTAAAAGAATGGGAAAAAAAAAAAAAAACACCCCTTAGAGGACTGTGTCCCTGTTGGTGAGGACAGAGGCAATGTATATAGCAACCTCAGAATAGGTACCCATCTCATGCAGTAGCAGTAGACAAAATAAATAAATAAATAAACAAATAAATAAATAAAGTGCTAAGGCTCTGAACTCTTATTTTCCTAACCCAAGCCCTTCAGCAGGAAGGAGACAAGATGCAAAAATAAGCAATCTAAATGACAATTTCTAGTGTTAAAATAATTTTCCTTGTGCCAGTTTAAGCGCTTAGGGTCTCACGCATTTCAAGATCAAGCTGCTCACATCACACCATCAAATTCACTGCCTCCTCTTGATCTTCAGTTACCCTTGCTCAGAGTAATAATTTAGATCAGTATTTAGGAAATGACTGTAGCACGTGGATGAATCCCCTTTCAATCCGACAACATGCTCTAGCGATTTCCTGAAGCAAGACCTTAATCTTTTTAATTTGATGGAGTGATAAGAATATCTTCTATATCATACTCATGTAGGGACTTCACAGAAAGCCTTCGCAAGGCAAGGTTATGCCTGCTTGTTCAAGAAAAATTGAGTGCTAATGTGTGTAAAAGAGAGCAGACCAAACGAACAGACTCTGTAAAACATGTATGCATATAAATACATACAGGTATGCGACACAAGATTGCTCAGAAGACGTGATCAATCAGGAACGGCTCAGGCTGGGCACATAAAAGGATTACGAGATGTCAGTGTTTTTCCAGCCGAAAGACAGGCCATGCACACTCCATTAGACAGATCTGGCCTGGGGCCCAGGGGACTTACAGGCTCAACCCGAGTTTGTTGTAAAATGAAAACACGACAGATGGCTGAGGGTTTCAGGTACAGGATGACACCAGGATCCTCTCTGATTTGAGGTAGCACTTTCACCCCTTTTCTGGGCCCTGGCATAAAAAGAGCTTGGTGGTGTGTGAGAGATGTGATCACCAAAAGCAACTGGAAGAAACATGAGAGAGATTCACTCTCCAAGGTTTAAGATCAAGCAGCTATGCTGTAAGGGAGAATTAGCCCAAAGCCATGTGATAGGGAGTAGGCCTCTTTCACCTGTTTTCTATTTTAGCCTAGCACACTTGAATGCCCCCCAAAAGAAAAGCCCCAGGCCCTGTCCCATCAGAGAGCCTGCTCTTTTCTTTCTGTACACAGCCCTGCATTATCCTCACACCACTAGGTGAAGAGATGCCTCTGAGAGGTCAATTTAGTCTGGCAGGGGGTGGGGAGCCATGAATCTCTATTCTTCTGTGTTCAAGCTCAAAGAGAGACTAAGAAGCTGTTGTGTGCACCAGCTCAGCCATGCACTCTACTGGAGAGTAAATAAGACCCCAGCCTTTAATCTGCACTGAAAGGAGATGGCATGCAGGGACCGCAACAGGCAATGTGCTCAAACAGCTACGCTGACTGACTATAGTGCGCTTGCAGCCGGGTCCACACACTACAATGTGCATCAAGTGCTCCTGACCTCCGTGAGAAGCAATACCTGATCTTGCAGAACACAGGCTACGACTGTTGCTGAAGGTTACTAATGACGCCCACGTCTCCTGGTTGCAGGTTTTACTGCCAGTGCACACGGAGGTGTTTTCATCTAGGTAACTCTGCAAGGTTTATTGGTTTCAGCAGAGACTCCTGAAGTCAAATTTCCATGGTTGCAAGGCTGTAAGTTCTCCAAATCTAGCCAAATGAACAAGGAAAGACTGTGCAACAGATGTTCTGTTTCTGTTTTTATTTTTCATATAAAGCAAGATTTTAAAACCCAAGAAAGCTGTTCTTGTCTGAATTTCAACCAAATGCATTATTTCAAGCTGATGCACAAACTTCCTTGTCCTTCTTTTAGAGTCATGTAAAAAGGAAACCCCCGAGCCCACATAATTCTTTGTTTGATGTGTTTTCCTTAGTAGAAACAGCATTTCCCATATGCCCCACAACTGGACTTGGGAACTAATACCCCAAGACAGTAAATCACTTAAAAACGTGTGAAGAAACAAAAATGTTTGTTAGGAAACCTGATCTAGATTGCTGCTCTGCAAGAAGTGGTGGGAACAGCTACAGCACATGATTATAACAGTGCAACCACAAACTGGTACAAATTATTCAAGCCACTGGGGACACCCTAAAGCAGGATGTTTATCTCTCTGACTGGACTGGGAGTTTTCAGATGGTCTTATGCTGCCAGAGTCTCTCTGGGTCACTGAAACAAACATTTTCAAGGCTGTTTTAGAGGTGCAGATCTTACAGTTATTTTGGCATAATTTATAATATTTTGGAATAAACTTCCTAGAAATGCCTGTGGGAAGGATCATCTGCTAGCATTCCTACTAGACTGCTTCCAAAAATGATACATATAAATGCATATAATCTGCCCCAGAAGGGTGAACTAGACACCTGTAGGTGGCTGGATTAAAGTTACTGGCCTGTAAAAAAAGGCATGACATGAGGCTGCTGACTAAGCTACATGTGAACAAAAAAAATAGGAGAAACTTCAGCAGAAATTATCACTTGACTGTGAGTCACAAAGGAGAGCAGCTTGTTCATCTATCCGTGCGCCTCCCATCCAAGTGTTCTTCTCTTACTCTTTAGTAACCTACATGTCCTCCAACAGCAGTTTGTAAACCAATAAATGCATGGTGAAGGGTCCAAAAATATCAGAGCTCCCTCAAACAAAAGAAAAAGAGCAATATTGATGGCCTGAAGAAGAGGGACATATATGACCCCAGTCAGTCCCACAGGCTGCTGCTGTGAAGAGTTGGAAGCTCACCATACGGCAGATCTGGCCAAGGACCTCAAGAATGCAGAACCGTTTCACTGAATGGAAGCCAAACCACAAAACAGACACCCCACTCCTACAGGTCCAGACCACTTTACCAGCCAGTTAGGTCCATCAGCCCAGGAGGTGGAAACTGTGATCCCTACTGACATCAGCACCTTACAAAGTTAACAGGAGTTCCCAGAAGACACAGCTCTTAGGACAACAACTGAGTAGAGAGACACAGAAAGTAGGTTTTCAGTCAAATAGTAGAAGAATGGTGTCCCCACAGGCTAGAATCTTTACAGGGTAACTTTCTTTAACCCACTCCATGGCCTGTTATTCCCTGACAGGAGCTGAACAGGGTGAAACAGAAACAAATCGGCAGAAAGAAAAGGTTGGTCCCCTGATCTTTACTGATACTAACCTTTTTGGCACACAAAGGACAGCTCATGCTCTGTGAGAGACAGGCAAAGCCC